TGTGTGTGTGTGTGTGTGTGTCTGTGTGTGTGTGTGTGTGTGCTGATCTTTTACTTGCCAAACTTGTCAGAAATGTTAAATGTTATTTAGTGTTAAATCTCTCATAATGTGTTTCTCTTGCACTTTTGATATTTGGTGTTTGAATTTCTTTGTTGCTGAATAAATGAACATGTGTGTGTGTGTGTGTGTGTGTCAGGGCTTCATGGACCTGAACATGACAGAGTTTCAGAAGCTGGGTCCCAACGTGACGGGCCTCCAGCTGGTGAACTGGTCCAATCCCGCTGTGGAGAAGATGGACCGGGACTGGCTGGAGTTCGACAGTAAAGACCTCAAACTGGCCCGCAGGAGGCTCAGGGTACTCACACACACACACACACACACACACACACACACACACACACACACAGCTGAGTTGCTGTACTTGTGAGGACATGTGTAGTGTTAGTGTGGAGATGGACGTGTGGTGTTGTGGCAGTGATGTGACTGAATCCCTCGCTGTGATGGCGGACTCCACCACTGACTGACAGGATAACAGCTGATACCCGGAGCAGCATCACATATTTATTATTTATTTAAACAACAACACAGGAGATCAACACACACACATGTTCAAATTTAACAACAAATAGTTTCATGGAATAAACACAATATCCTTCACAACGACATGAATACAATAAATAGAAATAAAATTAATTAATTAATAGAATTATAATTGCAATTGCTTCTCCTTCTTCTTCAGTACACTGGAGCGCTGACCTACGACGGGGTCATCGTCATGGCGACGGCCTTCCAGAACCTGCGTCGGCAGCGCATCGACATCTCTCGCCGTGGCAACGCGGGGGAGTGTCTGGCCAACCCGCCGGCCCCCTGGGGCCAAGGCATCGACATCCAGAGAGCTCTGCAGCAGGTAAACACAGCGTCACAGGGGCCGGGGGGGCCGCCAAGCACCCGCAGTAAACCTGTTTGTGTGTGTGTGCGTGTGTGTGTGTGTGTGTCTGTTTGTGTTTGTGTGTGTGTCTCTGTT